CTCTTTAATCCTGCACTTGTTTATCCTGGTCTCTCTTTAATCCTGCACTTGTTTATCCTGGTCTCTCTTTAATCCTGCACTTGTTTATCCTGGTCTCTCTTTAATCCTGCACTTGTTTATCCTGGTCTCTCTTTAATCCTGCACTTGTTTATCCTGGTCTCTCTTTAATCCTGCACTTGTTTATCCTGGTCTCTCTTTAATCCTGCACTTGTTTATCCTGGTCTCTCTTTAATCCTGCACTTGTTTATCCTGGTCTCTCTTTAATCCTGCACTTGTTTATCCTGGTCTCTCTTTAATCCTGCACTTGTTTATCCTGGTCTCTCTTTAATCCTGCACTTGTTTATCCTGGTCTCTCTTTAATCCTGCACTTGTTTATCCTGGTCTCTCTTTAATCCTGCACTTGTTTATCCTGGTCTCTCTTTAATCCTGCACTTGTTTATCCTGGTCTCTCTTTAATCCTGCACTTGTTTATCCTGGTCTCTCTTTAATCCTGCACTTGTTTATCCTGGTCTCTCTTTAATCCTGCACTTGTTTATCCTGGTCTCTCTTTAATCCTGCACTTGTTTATCCTGGTCTCTCTTTAATCCTGCACTTGTTTATCCTGGTCTCTCTTTAATCCTGCACTTGTTTATCCTGGTCTCTCTTTAATCCTGCACTTGTTTATCCTGGTCTCTCTTTAATCCTGCACTTGTTTATCCTGGTCTCTCTTTAATCCTGCACTTGTTTATCCTGGTCTCTCTTTAATCCTGCACTTGTTTATCCTGGTCTCTCTTTAATCCTGCACTTGTTTATCCTGGTCTCTCTTTAATCCTGCACTTGTTTATCCTGGTCTCTCTTTAATCCTGCACTTGTTTATCCTGGTCTCTCTTTAATCCTGCACTTGTTTATCCTGGTCTCTCTTTAATCCTGCACTTGTTTATCCTGGTCTCTCTTTAATCCTGCACTTGTTTATCCTGGTCTCTCTTTAATCCTGCACTTGTTTATCCTGGTCTCTCTTTAATCCTGCACTTGTTTATCCTGGTCTCTCTTTAATCCTGCACTTGTTTATCCTGGTCTCTCTTTAATCCTGCACTTGTTTATCCTGGTCTCTCTTTAATCCTGCACTTGTTTATCCTGGTCTCTCTTTAATCCTGCACTTGTTTATCCTGGTCTCTCTTTAATCCTGCACTTGTTTATCCTGGTCTCTCTTTAATCCTGCACTTGTTTATCATGGTCTCTCTTTAATCCTGCACTTGTTTATCATGGTCTCTCTTTAATCCTGCACTTGTTTATCGTGGTCTCTCTTTAATCCTGCACTTGTTTATCCTGGTCTCTCTTTAATCCTGCACTTGTTTATCATGGTCTCTTTTTAATCCTGCACTTAATTGTTTATCCCGGTCTCTTTTTAATCCTGCACTTAATTGTTTATCCTGGTCTCTTTTCAATCCTGCACTTGTTTATCCTGGCCTGTCTTTAATCCTGCATATGGGTTTATCCTGGTCTGTCCTTAATTTCGGTGCTCTCGGTGTTTCAAAGTATTAACTGGATTCTTGATGATGGGATTCTGGATGATGGAATTTGAAATAACTTGATTTTCCAATTGCGAGGATAATTATAATCCGCCAGCCTGCTATAGTTCTACTGATACATTGCATTTTTGTTTAAAACCTGCAGAAGTTTTCAACACAATTTTCACCCATTCTTAAAAATTATTTTCAAAATTCCTTATAGATTTTTACTACATTTTTATGTGTAATTAAGTATCTTATCCATTCTTCATACATTTTTAAACACTTTTATTAAATTTTATTCAATAATTTACAATTTATTTCTATTTCACTTATCGAACGATTATGTTACATTTCCCTTACAGTTCCCCGTCATTTCATAATATTTTTTGCGCCATATACATTCATTTTACTCGATTTTTCCCTCATTTTGTCGTATTGTCATCATAATTTATCTAGACATCCTTTCATTTTATGCACTTCTATATCATATTCGAATGTTAGATTTCGCCCCACTTTAGGAAATAAAGAGCTACTTCAATCAATACGCTCTCTACCTTCATAGTCATGCGTTTTAAATAGAAAGAGAGCATTCCACAGTTCAGGTGTCATAGGAGTACGCCACTCTAGTTCCGAGTGATGGAGACCTCATTCTAAAACAAAACAGTCTCTTCGATTTTAGAGTGACTATTCTCAGTGAAGTTAAGCGGGTTTAGAAAGGAGAGACTCGAAGTTATCGTTTTTAAATATTTAAGTAATAATAATCGCTCATTCCGTCCATAGCTTTTCCTTTTGCTCGATAATTCTACTCATGTATACACAGCATCAAAAACGCCACATAAAACAATTTTATAATGGATAAATATTCTTTTACACAAGAGAACTATGTCTGCGCCATTGCGCCAAAGACAAGATTGTCACAAGAAATGCACATTATTGAAGTTTAAATTAATTTTACCCAGAATTTACAGTCGAATTACTTGGAACGAAGGCTCGGCCAGGTGCACGTTACAAAAGAATATTAGCTGTTGTGGTCGATATGAGAACAAATGCGCAAGTATTAATATCTGAGAAGTGTTGGATTCAACATAAAAGAATGCCTTGAATTGCGTGCTGACATGCATGAAGATTTCCTTTTATTGAACTAAGGTTCAAGAAAACACTGCCTATGAATACTGCTTATATTAAAAAAATCTTTCCAGAATGAAGTTTAAACAAGAATATTATATTATATGATGAGACTGAAAGGTGTAAACGAACTTCTCTGTAACTTGGTGTTATTGACAAGGAGCGAGCGTCGTGTGGAGAGCAGTGATGGCCCACAGCAGCACAGGTGTCAATGAAGCGCACAGGTGTCAAGAAATATAGAGTCAAAAATATTCAGAACCTGCATGACAAACGAAGTCAAATTAATACTGGTTAAAAATAAATTTACGGAATTTCGTTTTTAAAAGTAATTTGGAATTGGAACAATCTTTTTTAAAATTTTCATGCAATTCATTAAAATATCTGACGCAGTTAAATATTCCCGACCAAGTAACAAGTACTTTCTCTTAAATTTAAAATCATCCTAAATAAAGGTCAAAATTTATTAAATTCATTTAATGAGCCGAATCGTAAAAATTTTCACAACTGAATAGAAATTCTCGAATATAGTTTAATTTCAGATGTTTCTCTTCTATCTCATTAAATTCTGTTCATCCAGTTTCGTTGCCTTAATTTTAAGGCAGTAATTTAATGGTGACAATATGTTCCTGTGTTATCATTGCTTCGATGATACCTTTATTGGTGAATAATATATCCCATATTTTGTTATTGTTTCTATGATCCATTTAATGATGACAATATATCCCCGTATTGTAATTTTGTCGATGATACATTTGTTGATTTTTATATATGTATAAATTAAAGCGTCTTCAATTATCTAAAAAATATGTTTTGAAAATTGACAAACATAATCGATTGTCGCCAAAAAAATCTCTATTTAAATTGTGGCTTCAACATTATCACTTCTAGGAACCATAACTTATAATTGCCTTAATTTTATATTTTTGAAAAATTCAAATTGTCTACGATATTTGGAGCCAATTTTTCACGTTGAACGCCAATTTTCAAATTGAGTGCCAATTCTTACTGAATTAATTTTTTAATACATTTTTCGAAAACTATGATTTTAACTGAACTGTATGCTGAAAATGAAACGTTGCTTACGCTAGCTACAAAGAAAAGTAAATTTTCCTGAATCATCAACATTGGTCAACTTTATATTTAAACTCGAAACAAAGATGCAATTGATCTGGAATTACACGTGTACATGTGCACTGGAGTGTACACGTAACAGGTGCACCAGAGTATACGTGTAACAGGTGCACCAGAGTGTACGTGTAACAGGTGCGCTTGCGGGTCCAGGTGTACTGCTAGCTGACTCCTTCATCTCACCGCCGCGCGCTCTCATTTTTTAAAAGCTGCAATGGGGCCAGCGTAGAGAGCTGCAACGTTAATACTAACATAAATTGTCATTTTTATGGTTTTATTCACTTCTTATATTTTCAATGAATATTTCTTGCGTATGTGAGGAATTTGACGTATTTTAACAATACGCAAAAACTTGATCGTTCAAAACTGTAATAATATCTTAATACTCGCGCCTAATTATGCTGCGCAGTACGAATTGTGAAAGCATTATACGTGTTTATCTGCTCACTGTTCCTGTTTGTTTTCCTGTTCACTGTTCTATTCGCTTTCCTGTTCACTGTTCTGTTTGTTTTTCTGTTCACTGTTCTTGTTTGTTTTTCTGTTCACTGTTCCTGTTTGTTTTCTCGTTCACTGTTCTATTTGTTTTCCTGTTTAATATAGTCTTGTTCACTTCATGTGTTTCTGTTCATTTCATCTGTTCCTGTTCACTTCATCTGTTCCTATTCACTTCATCTGTTCCTGCCCTAAAAATTAAATATTAATGAATAAATATTTATAAGTATTAATAAATGTTGAGTCAGATCGAGCTGATACTTTACACGAGCGTGGCTGCGCTCGTTGCTCTCAGGCACGAGTTGAGGGAGGAGCCTCAACCTGAGCACGATGCGCAGGTGTAACGAAAAAAGAGATGTTTTCTTCTCATTGTTCCGATACGTGCAACGAGCTTATTTGTTTCTGTGTACTGACTGGACATTGCATGCAGCAAGTGTATGCATTATTGTGGAGAATAGTTGCCGAACACCGCCATTTGCATTATAGTCTTTGTTGTGCGTTGTTTGTTAAATCGAGAGTATGAATGTACCAATTTTAAATAAATATTTCCGCTAATAATGAATTATTCCATTCACTATCTCTCAGCAAAAAAGTGTCCATGCACGCCATTATCATCGATCAATATAATAGAAAAATAAACTAAATAACACAAAACAAGATCATATTTTTATCATGGCGCGTGAAAGCCACATTACAAGGGCATCGTATTGCTGATACTCGCCTTTAAAGAATTTTTTTTCGTTCTTACTCGAAATAAGTATAAATGTCTCCTCATTCAAATAACATTATAGAATCGAAGTCGACGTGTACTAACATAATGAATGCTTAGTACACGTCGACTTGCAGCGCACCTGTTTACCGTCTGTACCGCCCACCACTTCCCGGCCCTCAGCGCAATTGCTGACATTCGGGGTCTGTTCAGTTTCATCGACAGCGCAGTTGAGTGCAGAGCTGACGAGCTTCAGTGAACAGGTGGGAAACTTTGCTCCAATTTTTACTTCACTTGGAATTCTTCCTGTGGCGTATATTTGAATGACATCTGAAAATATAAGAATAACTAAAGTTTACTGTAACAGCCACCACGCACAATTATCTGTAAAATATAATTTATTTAGTATTAGTAGTAATTTAGTAATTTATTTCAATTTTTTTGAATAAGTGGATATAAATGATTGTTTCGGTCGACAATACCATCGATGTTCTAGTCATTGGACTTATATACTTATATTTACCACTATATATCAGCTGGTTAAGTAAACTTGTGCTTAATTTAAAGGTAAAATAGTAACCGGTCTCTACATGTGTTGGTTTCTGAGGACATTCATTATTTAGAAGAAGGAAGGTTGATGTGGGGTCTTTCATGATTGAAAGAAGGAAAGCTGCCAAGTGAATTTGTTACCTGGGTGTCTACATTTTATCTCGATTTATATTACTGATTAAAGCGGCGATTAATGGTTTTAGATTAATTTTTTATGTTTCGTGGAATCAAGCGTAAAGTAATGAAACACTTATTACATATTTTTTAATTGGTTTATATTTGATACGCAGTATAAGAATGAAGCTGGAACCAAACGCGGGCTCGAAATGATTGTACGCATTTCTTTTCATTCAACAGACTTGCACGCATATTAATTAATGGTCATCAATAAATTACGCTGTGTAGATAAGACCCCAAGGTCTACCCATGCCCAAGTGGGATGAGATCTCAGGCATTTGTGACTTGTACTCTGAGGTATTTAATAAGAGGGGACAAAGTTAACGTTGCTGTTATATTTAATGCAATGCAATGCTGTATGAATGCAATTCATACGGCGTTGACGTCCAATAATTAGCAGTAAAAATCTTTGAACCGCGATTGAATCGAGTCTTAATCTCACAATTCAGTTAGAATAAAAAAGGAAAGTTGCAATCGAAATCGCATACAAGATGTTGGATAATTTGAACAGCGTACATTGATGAATTATCTCCCGATTTTGCCTACTGCAATTATTAGTTCATCTAAGATAAGAGTAACAGATAAGGTCACGTATTAAGGGAGATTGAAATCTAAATTAATGAAGTGAAATTTTCAAAACTCTAATCCATGACATCTTAGCTAAATATGTATGTATATAAATTTATTCTTTTTCTATCGCATAATATATATTACTGTTCTGAGTTGAAACAAACTGCTTAGCCAACAAAACAAACTTATTCTCTATACCCCTGGCGGTATTCTATTAATTGCACTGGAAACCGGGCTCGACGAGCGGTGATTTGCTCTTGTACCAAATGCTGAATGGTAGTTATTCTTTGCTTCGAATGACTTGCTATGCAAAGTTATGGTGCATTAAGTGCAGTGTAAAATTAGTGGTCGTGATGTAAGTTCTGTGTTCATGGAGTTGAAATGTTCATGTGCATAAAATTTTGCTCTCTGTGTGGAACAATATCTAATGATTTGGACATTGTCTGCCCTAATTGATGATACGGTATTTTATCGCATTGAATGGTTTCCCCTTTTTCCCGCAGGACATTATCCACGGAAATTGTGTACGCTGAAGTCGCCCCGTGATTCGCCCTTTACTTCTTCATCAACTCCTCGCGCTCCCCCGGACCGCAACGCCGTAGCCATGAAAGTCGCGTCCAAAGCCTGCGCGGTGATCTTCCTCGGGCTGGTGGGTGCCGGGGCAGGCTTAATGCATCGGGCGGAAGTTGCCAGGATGGTTTAAGACATGTACTGAGAATTATATTGACTTGGAGGTCTTTACCAAATTTCTGTATTCTCACATCATATCTAAAGATGTTTATAATTCCTGAAGACTACTTCGATTAATGGAATAACGAATTATAGCGTTGGCATTCATGAAATTCCTCACATTATATTATTGGTGCATCTCCATGGCAGCGTTGTGCACGTATGATCAGTTGAAGTCATCGATCATTGTGTAATTTTATTTTTCAATTAACGAGCGAGCTGCTCATCTTGTTCATGCTAACAGCGATAAGTCTAAGTTTTTACTGGATCTTTTTCTGGAATGATCTATTGTTGTGGAGCCCACTTGAATGATACAATGTTATAGAACATTTTTCTTGAATGATGGTATTTTTATGGAGCCTCTTTTTTGTTGATCATATTGTTGCGCAGCCCTGTTCTAGAATGATCATATTTATGTGTAACCTTTCTAGAATGATCGTTTTGTTGCAGAGCCAATTCTATTATGATCGTATTTCTGCGGGGCTCTCTTCTAGAATGATCATTTTATTGCCTAGCCTTCTACTATATTGATCGCATTGTTGCTAAGTTCTTCTCAAGAACGATCGCATTGCTGCCGAGCCTTCTTCTTTAATGATGTTCTGTTGTTGAGCTCTCTTTCTAAATAACATGTTATGTTAGAGCCTCTTTGAATTATCCTCTTATATAGTGCATCGCTCTCTTATTCAATTATCGTATCGTTACAGAGCTCTCTTCTATGAGGATAATGTATGTAACTAAGCATCTTGTTCCTTACCCTCTTCTAGAATTATATATAATTTTGGAACAATCATCTAGAATCATTGTATTGTTGTGAAGGCCTGTTACGGAATGATCGTTTTTTTGCTGAACCCTCTTACGGAATGATCGTATTTTTGCTGAACCCTCTTACGGAATGATCGTATTTTTGCTGAACCCTCTTACGGGATGATCGCATTTTTGCTGAACCCTCTTACGGAATGATCGCATTTTTGCTGAACCCTCTTACGGGATGATCGCATTTTTGCTGAACCCTCTTACGGAATGATCGTATTTTTGCTGAACCCTCTTCTACGTGTAAGCTAGTATCATAATATACAGAGCTGGGCAGCGCTACTTTGCAATGTAGCGATTTCAAGTAGCGGTAACACCGCTACCGCTACAATTGCTTAAATTTAGCCCCGCTACCGCTGCCGCTACTGAAAATGTAGCGGCCGCTGGTAGAGGCCGCTACACGTAGCGTGCTATACTGCCCACCTCTGGTAACAAATAACATGCTGACACTAGTAACAGGCTGAGGTTGACAACATTACACCGAAATCTTTCGTACAGTTTTATTCTGTAATTTAAATTATGTATGTATCATGCTGGTTTTTAAATAATATTTAATAATATTAAGTAAAATCTAAATGCATTATCTATAAATGTAGCGGTAGCGCTGTAGCGGCAAAACCTCGTACCGCTACTTAAATATGTAGCGGGCGCTACCGCTACCGCTACAATTGCTTAAATGTATAGCGCCACTACCGCTACATGTAGCGCGCTACTGCCCACCTCTGATAATATGTAGAGTCCTTCTCTAGAATAATTGTATTTTCATAGAGCCCTGTTCTAGAATGAGCGTATTTTCTTAGATTGTTCTTCTAGATTGATCGTATTGTTGTAAGGCCTTGTTCTAGAATGATCATATTGTTTAGAGGCCTTTTTCTAGAATGATCGTATTGTTGCGGACCCCTCCTCTAGAATAGTGTATTTTTGCTGAGCCAACTTCTGGGATGATATACCAGGTGACTGAGTATGGTGACTGAGCCCTCGTCTAGAATGGTCGTATTGTTGTGGAGCCCTAGTCTGGAATGATTTATTATTGTAGAGCCTTCTGCTAGAACGATAGAATTTTGTAGATACCTCTTTCAAAATTTGTGTAGCTCTCTTATAGAACAATGGTATTCATTGTCCATTTAAAATTATCGTATAGTTGTTGAGCCTTTTCTAGAATGATACGAATTTTCTATAGCCCTCATTTAGAATGATCTATAGATGTGCAGCTCTCCTCTAGAATGATCATATTATATTATAGCCTTTTTTAGTATGATCCAATTGTTTTGCAACCCTTATCTAAAAAATTGTAGTGTCGGGGAGTACTTTTAAAGACTAATTCTTTGATGCAGTGCCTATGTTCGCGTGACTGTATGGTTGTGGAGCCTGCTTCTATAATAATTCAATCTTTGTGGAGCTCTCTTCTAGAATGATTGATGTGGAGCAATGAGCAATCTTCTGAAATGAACGAATTTTTTCATGGCTGTAAATGAGTGTATGGCTGTAGAGCCATCTCCTAGATTGATCGTATTGTTGCAAAGCCATCTTACGGAATGATCGTATTGATTTTAGCCTCATCTAGAATGATCGTAAAGCCCTCTTTTTAGAATTATTTATTGCTGCTGTGCACTCGTCTAGAAAGATATATTGTTGTAAAGACTTCTTCATGAATGATCGTATTGTTGCAGAGTCCTTTTATAGAATGATCGGATTGTAGCGGAAACCCTTATAGAATGCTATGATGTTGCCGAGTCTTTTTCTAGAATGACATGTTGTTCTGAAGTCCTCTTTTAGAATGATCGTAATGTTGTGGATTCCTCTTTTTGAATGTTCTAATTGTTTCGAAAACGTTCCATAATTTTATCGTATTGTTGTGGAGCCCTTTTCTAAAATGATATGTTGCAGTGAAAGAAACTTCTGCGATGATATATGATTACTAAGCCCTCGTCTAGTATGCTATATTGTTGTGGAGCGCTCTACCAGAATGACATAATGTTGCTAAGTCCTCTTCTAGAACGATTTATTGTTGTTGAGCCCATAACGGGTATGCCATAGGGTCTTATAAAGGCGTCTTTCATAATGATCGGATTTGCGAGGCCTCATCTACAATGACTGTATTGATGAGCTTTCATCTAGAATGATTGCAGGGTTCCATATCCCTCTTCTAGAATAATCGTATTGCTGTGGAGACTCTTTCTATAACGATCAAATTGTTGTAGAGCCCTCTTTTAGATTGAGCATATTATTGTAGAGCTCTCAAAAATATTTATCGTTTGTGTCGGAGCCCCGTTTTAGGATGATACATGGTTGTGGAACCCTCTAATGTTTTAAAAAATCTTTTAGACTGATAAAAGTTGTGGAACTGTCGTATTATAGAATAATCGTATTGTTGAACAGGCCTCTTGTAGAATGATCCGTTGTTTCTCAGTACTTTTCAATCAAAAATTTACTCCCTATAAGTCCTCTCCTGCAATTAGGGAATATTTGTGGTGTCTTCTTTTGGAATACTCGTATTGTTGCGGTGCCTCGGCTAGCATGATCGTAGTATTATGGAGCTTCTACTAAAATGCTCGTATCTTCGATGAACCCTCTCCCAGGATGACCCTATTCATGCCACTTCTAGAATAATCGAAATATTTTGGAGCAGTCGCGCGGAATCACTACTATGAACTGGTCGTGAACGTCAGTCTATTGTACATTGTGATGGTAATCGGCAACATTGCGATGGTAATCGGTAACATAATGTGAACAATGAAAGGATCTGAATTCAATATTGTAATGAAAAATATAGACAAACACTAGTTATTCGTAATTTACCCAGATTATTTCAGTAAAGATCGATTAATCCGCTAACCTAAATCATACATTTGAGACCTAACACCAGATCGTTATAACTCTTACGGATAACTATTGTCGAATAACGTACCGACACTAAGTGTCGTACAAATTACGTCTCAATAACGTCTCCTATTGAAGTCCTGAGAATGCCAGGCATTCCACTCAAGCTTGTCTCCATGGGAATTGTTCGATGGTACTATTGTCCACGGCAGCACTAATTATCATCGTTCCAATGAGCCAACTTAATGCATCAAGTTGTAAGTCAGTAAGATGGACTATTTATCAGCGACATGTGTTGATTTGAGCAGACGGGTTCTGGGCAACTAATCCAGAGATAGTAAAATGGTGGATGAGCGAGGCGAAAGTGTCACTGCACAGACTAATTGGCATGAGGTGGATGTTGACTATTAATATGTTAAATATTCAGTACGTCAATCAGGTAGGATCCAAAAACTTTCCTTCCAACCTCTTACGTCAGATGATCTCCTCTGTCTACCTTCTCTCGCTCGTCTCTCTCCTCTTATACCGTATATGAGCTGGAATGAAGTTAAATATTGTCGTATTCATTGTGGTGACGTTCATATATAAACAAATCTCATTTTAACAATTACATCTAATTCTAAATTCCTAAATATTTTTATTATATTAATACAAAATCTTGAACGGAACCGCTACAAGCCCTCTTCTAGAATGATCTCTATTTTGATGTAGCCCTCTTTTAGAATAATATTATGGTTGATAAACCTCATCTAGAATGATCGAATTGTTGCTGAGCTCTGTTCTAAAAAATTTTGTTTTTCTGAACTCTCTTCTTGAAAAAAATGATTGTTGCTGAGCTCTATTCTGGAAATATATAGGGTACTGAACCCTCTTTTTGAAATGTATATTGTTGTTGAGTCCTCTCCTAAAATGATAGTATAGTTGTGGAGCAATTTTCTAGAAAAGGTAGAATAGAAGGAATGAATTGCAAAGAGTGGCTAAATGGTTTTCACTTATAAATTGTATTTGAACTGTGGATCATGAGTGTCTCTGTTCCGCCTTGTTTTGTTCTACAGTGTCCTACAGGATGGCATTTCTGAATCATTATACATCATTTGTATATAAACTCTTAGGACCTAATTGTAACCATATGTCTTTGATATCCATCTATTATGGAAATAAGCCGGCCATCGTCCGAAAATGGACGTATACTTTTGTCCTGGTTTGGGTTTGGTCCGGCAAAAAAGCGCATCAGTGCTACGTCCTCTCTCTGCCAGTGTTTTGGGTTAGAAAGTGTGTCGTTAGCGCTAAAGATTTCTAAAGTTGTACGCTAAATTACATATCATGATTTAGTGGTCGCCTAAGCTGAGATTATTACTGGAAATTATAAGTAGCTTAACCAGATGCCCGCATTCATCTCTTCCTTCACATGCATGAACATTCAAGCGCGGTCGGCAAAATTGATGCGACGTCGGTTTTCGATATTAATGAAACAAAGATAAGCACATAACTAGATTAAATTATCATTGTGAGTTTAGAACGCTGGTGTGAATTGGCCGCATTGCCCACTTTTCTCATCGATGGCCAGCGTGATGATGCGGCTGATTTAAATCGTACCATTTGCCCAAAACTTTTATTGCGGTGCAGATCGTCGCTGTGCTGATGTAGACCTTGATTGTTCGTCAGGTCGCCGCTGTGCTGACGTAGACCTTGATTGTTCGTCAGGTCGCCGCTGTACTGACGTAGACCTTGATTGTTCGTCAGGTCGCCGCTGTACTGACGTAGACCTTGATTGTTCGTCAGGTCGCCGCTGTACTGACGTAGACCTTGATTGTGGGTCAGGTGACCATTGCGTTTATGTAGGCCCCATATTGTGATGCAGGTCGTCGCATCGCTGACGTAGACCTTGACTGTTGTGCAGGTCACAACTGTAATGGCATAGACCTTGATTGTTCGTCAGGTCGCCGCTGTACTGACGTAGACCTTGATTCTGTTACAGGTCGTCTCGGCGCTGACGTCGGCTGAGCGGGAAATCAGAGCTGACACTAGCAAGTACGAGGTGAGTTCTAGCAGAGATTATCGGCCAACGCTAAACATAAAGTGTGGGTAGAAATGTGTTTTTTTCTGAGACGTAATAAAAATTTTATGAAGGAGTATGGTAAGTCATCCGGGAACCTCAGGCTATGAGAATATACTTTATACCTGTATTTCCTTTTGATCATGCGTCATGAACGAATGAAACAATTACAAATGGTGAGTAAACATGAGACGACCGCTGCCAGCAAGAGGTCTTAGTTACTGAAGGCATCAGAGCAAGCGCGCGAAGAACCCCACGGTAACGAACTTAGAAATTCAAATATGAACAAATAGGGTCAACGAGAGACAGCAAACGTTATAGTAGATCGCGGACGACGTTTCATCAATTCAACATGTTGTTCCGCAATTAAGCATCTTGCCGCAAATCTAAGTTAAATTTGTAGCAACCCGTATATTTCTGTCAACGTTAACCAATAGAATAGTTTTAAGATTGCGTTCGTGGCTAAGACTTATGTTCAATAGTTGTAGCGTAAAAAACGGCTTTGGATGCAGCAACCAAGAGGGCCACATGCTTCATGGTTACTGTCAGGTAGAAAAGCAACAGCTCTCCCAAACATAAATAATGTACAGATCTTGCCTCCTCTCTCCCAACATGAGAGGCAATCTTTACCACGAATTTTCAAGATCATCCCCTACATACTCCCCAATACCTTTTTATACAATCTCCAAAACTTCAAAATCCGAATTGCAGAAAGTCCAAAATAATCACTAAGATTTATTATAAGCATACACTGCCCGACTTCCACAAATAATTTTCGAACAATGCAGCATTCCCCCATAAACATACTCCTCCATCAACAAGCTCGCACAGCCTTGTCGACGAACACAGCACATGACCCATGACTTTTCCATTGAAGAGCCATTTTCTCAAGACGTCATTGCTTGACAACACCGACAGTTTCAAAGCTTCAAATACTTTCACAAGGTCCTCCATTACACGACAGGCCAATTGTACTTTGATGACGGTTGTCCTTATCTCGACTCTCATTACACCTCCCGACTTTTAACAAACGGAACTTTCTCGCACAACTCGATTGAGAAATAAGAAACCACACCGCTGACAAAATCAAACATGAAATTGAGATTCAACAGACTTTATTACACATACAGGACGTCATTAAAATGAAACAATAAACCCACTTCATGAAAATAGTTGCCACGGCCACCACAATAGCCCAACGCATACTCACAAATGGAATTAGCCGAAATCACCCCATTACAGTGAAAAGTTTTGGTGTTTTTGTTACACAAAACACCAAAATCACCCCCATTACAGTGCGAACAAGAATAGTACACATACCTACTCATCTACTATAAATGCGGCAAAATAGAAGACCGCCCTAACACACCAATGCACATACACCACTCCCTCTTGCCCCAAATGTCCTATCAAAATTTTGATTCCTATCAGCCGCTGGCTCAAGGGCGCACCTATTTGGTACCTGAAACGTTTGGGACAGACACGGCCGAATCGGAAAAATGCGTTTAAAAATGCCCCCTCACTTCGCCCCTTTATGGGGGGAAGAAAGGGTCATTTGAGTCTCTGTACGGTGTATATATATGTGTATGCAGTCTAGTAGGGTAACATGGGGCAGCGAGCCCACTGCGGGTCATGGGCCCATAGCGGGTTTCTCGCTAAGAATGGCAGATATTGGTCCGTGTTCTCTACCGCCGGTCGACAGTTTCACTGGGATGAAGTGTACGGATTTACGTTTTGCTAAGTGTTTGCGTTATTAAGTTATTTGTGAAACTGTTTCAGCCCAGATAATTTTTTTTTGCTGCGAAATAAAACTGTTATCGATTACTGTAGATGAAGCTTTTGAAATTACTGTGAATATATTTTGAAAGTAATATCTATAGGGATAATTTTGAGATCAAGTTTAGACTATTCGCTTTTAAAATAAAATGTTGACACGATATAAATTGAAAGGATACCTAGTGGGGGCAACGGGCCCACGCGTGTCACGGTGCAAAGCGCCCATGGGGAAGTCTTGTGTAATACATCATTAGATTTGTCTCAATGACCTTTTCAAAACTATGACTAGCTTTTGAATTACCAATCACACTTCATATTGCATGATTTTTCGATTTGCCGCCTCTAGGCAGCAGGTTTAGTTTCTAGTTATGCGTATTTATGATCCCTTATCGAGTTATTGACTCTTGCCTTGAAAAATTTGTTTTCAGTCAACACCAATGAGCCAAAAGTTGATGAGTTTTTATGGTGTTAGCTGAAAATCACGTTTAGGTACGAATTCTCTGCACATAATATCTGGATTATGGGCAAAACTGGAACGAAGTTTTTTTCTGATCAACTAAATATATTTTTTCTAGTCAAGAATACATTTTTTCATGTCAGGACGAATTTTTTATCGCAAGATTATATTTTTCAAGTCAATTATATTTATTTTTATGTCAGTGAAATATTTTTCTTCACGTCAGTGATAGATATTTTTAAGCCAAGGGTATATTTTTTCATGTTAAGGATATGATTTTTTGAGTTGTTAATAAATGAATGAATGTCATATTTTTAAATATATTTTTCTTATTTTTAACTGTAAAGTGTTGTTTTATGAATTTTAAACGAAAATTATGCAATTGCGGGAAAGGACCAAGGGTGGGCGCCTTGCCCCAAGCCCATGGGCCCATTGCCCCAAGGGTGGGGCAATGGGCCCATTTTGACACTTTTTACAAAATAGAGTTTCATTAAAAATTGAATAACTCTATAGGCGCCTAATTCACATCATACACTCCTCATTAGTTGCACCTTTAAACAAAACAAAGAACCACCTCGTATCAATTAAAACTTCATCAAAAATTTAGTTTAAAAAAAAGGGGGGCGCGCTGCCCCATGTTACCCTACTAATCACTTAGTTTTAAGATCAGAACAAAGTCTATCACAGGCTCAATTTCCATGCATAGACGATTACAGCTAGTATCTATTTGACATGGCGTGGGTAGAAATGAGGGCAATAATCGCAAATAAGGAAATTAAATCGATACATCAATATAACTGATTCGAGGTAATACAAGTAAAGCCCATTTCTCCTATTAAATCCATGTATCCTGCTGAAGGAACAACGTTGTGTTTAAAATAATCGTTGAATTATTTGCCGTTTCATTTCATGTAACTTTCGTCACATTAAATTTCTATCGAGCTAACAGTTCTGCAAGGGCCTCGAACTTCTGAGTCCATTGACGAAAGGAAGACCACACAATAGAATGGAAAAGCACATGGTAATCTTAACAAAATCAAGTTATGGCACTAACTTGATTTCAGCTTTCAGTTGTTCAAACCTCATAGCAACTGACGATCTTTCTGCATCCAACTTCGGCTGCTGCAATGACAGTATTGAGTTACACATGTAGTTCTTCTCAAGCATTAAAGTTGTAAGCATTATCTATAGATGTAGCATTAAATATAATAATATTTATAGTTAATAATTCATATATTTATAATATGAATATTTATAATATTCATTTATAGATAATATAAATGTAGCATCTCAAGCATTATCTATAAATGTAGCGGTAGCGCTGTAACGGCAAAACCTCGTATCGCTACTTAAATATGTAGCGGACGCTACCGCTACCGCTACATTGCCTTAAATGTAGCGCCGCTACCGCTACTGAAAATGTAGCGGCCGCTACATGTCGACGCGCTACTACCCACCTCTGCTCGCTAAGTTTGTTTGCATTCACGTATCGTATCGCGTCGAGTAAGCTGCGTTTTCGATCCTGTGTCGTGTAGAAATAAGCAACATGATGGCCGCTGTACTGACATTTTGATGACACCAACTTATTCTACTCTTCTACAGTTTGAACCAGGTGCGTGTTCTGATTCTATTTCAATTGGTAGACTTGGGTGCAATAAAATAATATAATTGAGTTTTAATGAAGTCTACTCACTTTCGTTTCGTTAATAGCATAAGACAAATCAGTTTGTGTTTCATTTGATAATATTTGTCGGCAGTATCTAGGTTGCTTTAAACCGGATGTTTTAGTTTCTCGTTCCAGCTAGAGAGACTGAAAACAAAGTCAACTATTTTAGATTGCAATGTTAGATTGAATAAAATATTGAGTACATTCTTTATTACTATTAATTGATTCTTGAAAACAATCGAATACTCATATCAATCGAAAAAGGATAAATTTGAAACTAATCGGAAACATCTATGCTGATTTTAACCATAAACTTTAACTACATATTAAGACTTTAAAAATTTTCCAAAAATTTAGACTTAGCTCTCGTTGTGCAACCTGATAGAGCACTTATACTATAACATGAAGGTCAAAATTTCATTATTTTAAACCTGACAAGTGAGTGACGGCATGAGAAACTTTTTGCCAACAAGCATGGAAAGGTTGAGATTCTGCAATCAGTTCAAGATATAAAATGATCCAGCGAAGGAACAATATTAAATCATATAGGGACAAGAACGGTGTAGTTTTCCCCATCAACTGTATTAGCGAATGTATGTGGGAAACTGCATGTATTAACAGAAGTCAACGGATTAAGAAAGTATTAACAGGTGTTTGTGTAAACTGTGTTTCACGACAGCTTCACGTACGATGATGAATCTTTACTGCATCTTCTGTTTTGTGAAATAAACAAAAACTAACAAAGGAATGAACTTAGTTGGAACGGAAACATTTTTTTTCCTTGCCCCGAGCAATTTATTAATTTAGTTTTAACTTATAAATTTTGACAATGTAGCACACCCTACCGTCCGCCTTTCCCAAAAGACATCTAGGCGCTGAGCTAACGTTGAATTAAATGTTGTTTCGTTGAATCAACGTTGAATTTTACTTTGTTTCGTTCAATCAACGTTGAATTTAACTTTGTTTCGTTGAATCAACATTGAATTTACCGTTGTTTCGTTGAATCAACTTTGAATTTACCGTTGTTTCGTTGAATCAACATTGAATTTAACTTTGTTTCGTTGAATTAACGTTGAATTTAAC